AACCTACAACAACATTTGGCTTACAAAATAAATACTATAAATAAAAGTCCTCAAAAGTTATGAAAGACAAATGCTTAAGCAAGAAAATAAAGGCATACGTTCTTCAGAAAGTCATTGAGATCAAGCATGGGACCACAGACTCAGAGAAAGGTATTTAATTGGTATAAAAGGTAGCAAAAAGGACTGGGAGATGGCAATGCTCATCAGCTGACTTCTGATTTTTAAAACCTGAGAAAACAGTTAAGGCCCCTGAACACACTTAAACCCTGTTCTTTTAGATACATCCAAGCATATTCAGAATTAAAGCCTACATTTACCAAGAGAGACTTGATATAATGAGTCAAGCCAATATTTAAGCCACAATGAAATATGATATCAGTGATATTTAAGCAGTGCCTGGAACTCATGTACACCCTCAGGAATAACATGTGCTCTAAATATATAAATGATCACCCAGCAGTAACATTCTGATTCTAAAAGAAATGGTAATTTTGCCCAACTGTTTTATAGGTGAGGTTCTAATTCTACCCCTCTCCTCTGCACCCAGCTTGTGAAAGACTGTTGCAAAAAGCAGTACAGAATCTTTGTCATAGAATAATTTACAAAATAGTCTTAATAATTTGATTTGTATGCCAAATGAAGCAGAAACAAGGCCACTTGATAGCATTGGTTAAGCAAAGGGCTGTTGCTTCCACCCAGTTACCTCAGAATGACCCAACCTGGCATCTCTCAGATATACTGGGACAGGATTCCCAACTAAAATGGTCAGATCCTGGGATTTCTAGTTTTATAATTGGAGAGCAGCTGGAATGAGAAAGACTGTCAAAGTAGCTCACAGTCAGATTCTTCTTTGCACAGAAAACCAATGAGGGCCATGTCAATCGGTGTGAGCAAACTTTCTTCTAGATGTGTTGAACGGTTCCCATAATCTCTTACCATTGGTCATGCTGTTTGTAGCTAAGGGGAGTTGATGCTAGAATGTGCGAGGTTGTTATCTGAAGGCATTCGATTGTAAAGAGGAGTGTGTAAAATTTTCCATATGCATATTGTTCTGCACATGAAGCAGAATAGTTGATGTGGTTTATGCCGGGACCAAATTCTGTATTTCAAATGTTTTGGTCGAAGTAGAGGAAAAAAAAATGGGGCATGGACTGAACATGATTCCTCTGGATAGAATTGATTGGGGAGTCTTAAGAATAAGAAAAAGTCAAGGCTGAGGGATTTCTCTGACAGCAGTGTATGCAAATATCAGAGGTAGCTGGAGGGGAAAGCACTGGGAATATTGGGATGAGGACAGGATATTAGCTGTGGGTTGAAGAGAGATAGGAAAGAGAGGGTCTGGCCCATTGGCCACATGGAGGAAGATGGAAGAGAAAATGCAATATATACTCTCTGATTCTCTTTGCCATGTAAAAAAATCACTACGGGGTTTCTTTGGATTTTATTTGGGCTGAAAGTGTTTCAGGGGTTGTTTTTTTCTTCTTCAGTGCTAATTCAAAATGGTTCTGTAGAACTACGTGAACATAATTATTTGTTTTGAGTTTGAAAGAAAACATGTTTTCAAGTTGTGCAAATCCCTAGTTCTGTACTACCAAAGATATACATATTGGATTTCTAAAATGGAACAATGCATGATGGTGCTATAATATGCAGCTCTCAGAAGAATTAGGATTATTATGAAGATCAATTTTTAAAAGAACGGACTTTGTGAGTGTAATTTTCATACATAAGAATGCAGTAGCTTACTTTGACTGTACTGCATACTGCAAGCTTTTGGTACTAAGCTCCTTGAGGAAATATTTAGTACCTTTGTAGTCTCATCTCTTTGCTCTTTTTCTCCTGAGGTAGGTAAAATAATATTTTTATAAAATTGGGCATACTTCAAATATTATCAGGAAAAAATGCTTCAGACTTCTTGCAAATGCAACAGCTCTTTGCCCCTTATTAAAACAAATGTATGTTCTCTCAGGCTTCTGAGTTAGTCTAAAAAAAGATCCTGCTGTTTTAATGAATCAAATAATTAAATTAGTGGATCTAAAAAAAACCTGATGTATCTTTTTTCAGGCTAATTCAGAAACCTAAAATCAGCTAATCAGGTTTGCTCTAATGAAGAGCAGCAAGATGCTGTATTCGTACCATAGAGGATCCAAAATACTTGTTCTGATTCATATTTCAAATGTGCATAGCCCCAGTATTACTGTGATCAACCGTGCAGAAAGAGTAAGTTTTAAAAGAAGTTATTTGAATCTTCCATTCTAACCACACATTTTGAAAAGCTTCCCTATCGTTGAAAGAAACAGCTATCCTGATTTTCTTTCAAGAGCTAAAAGCTCTAAAGAAATCAGATTTTTGTTTCTGGTTCAGTTTCAAGACTCATAAATTACAGGAGTATCTTTGTTCTGATGTTAAAAGACAGGAGATGATTCTAATATTGTTTACAGCACTATGAACATAGTATTATGCCTCTTTTTCTTTGTAAGAACTGTAGCCATGATAAAGACAAGGCCCCAGTTATGGAAACTGAATCCTGCTTAAGTAAGGCCAATTCTATGGTAGTTGGGAAGTAGCGGTACTTTGAGAACTGTTGTGCCACCAACTTCGTTTAGATGATTACATTTCTGAATATATAACTATAAAAGAATGACTTTGGCCAATATTCTTCAGGGAAACAAAGTTACTGCCTAGTTGCTAAATTAATTTTGCAGATAGAGAAAAAAATCAGTTGGGTGCTTTTCCTAACCAGGAAATGAGGCTACATTTTAATTAACCAGTTTGAGCATAATGCACGTGTCACTGAGTAGTGACAATCACAAGAATTTTGTTAAGGAAAGGAATGTTCAATCCTTACTAGAAGACTAAGGATCTAAGCAGCCATTGCATCTGGAACCAGGAATGGATTATTGAGTGAAAGCAAAAACAATGGACAAAGATTCAGAAGAACTATCAGTTATGTAGGTCTCCTCCTCCCAAAAATATGGAATAAGCACAAAGACTCTGAATACACTGAGTTCTAAACAATTCAGATCTGGCCAGTATCAGATTGTGAATGAGAGCAGTCCAGGTCAGCTATTCCTGTGTTCTTCTCTTGGACAGAATGTCTACAAAAATATTCCATTTCTTTTTTTCTTAGTAGCAACTAAATTTGCGAAGAGTAAGGAACCTGTTTGTATCTGTAAGGTTAAGACACTGAAAGTGGAAACATACTTTTTTTATCAGCAAATCTCAGCTGCCCACAATATTACTGTAAAAAATATTTCAGAGGTCAATGTTTGACTACTATATTGTTATGCACATATTTTAAAAAAAGGTTAAAAAGTTTCTTTTCAACCTATTCTTAGAATAGAGATGGATATTGGTAGCTGTCCATCCATGGCTTCCCAGAACTTTTTCTGAGTCATCTTCTCAAAACCTCAGCCCTTCAAGAGATGTTGGAGTGCAACTCCTAGGCAGCACGGCTAGAGGTGAGAGAATTCTGCCCACCACATCAGGAGGGCCCAGGCTAAGAAAGGCTTCAGAGAATGGGCAACTAGATCGCTAAGGTAGCTGAATGAACACAATGGCATTAGGGTATAGATTGTGTACCTCAGTTGGACAACAGTTGTTAGTATCTATGTATATTTGGCCCTACTAGGCATTTCCCTTGCTGCATTAAGTACTAATTACCAAGTTTTCTTGCTTCCCATGCTTCTAGTCCCTTTCCATCAGCAATTAGTGAATATATCCACATTCATCCTGAAAATATTCAGGTTTTCAAGTCTTCACTCAAACTTACACTAAACAGGCCCTATTGAAAGCCTGCCTCTTTCGCTTCCATTACATCAAAAAGATGAGATAAGGAGTAGCAGTGCCAGGCTTTTTTTTTTAGATGCACAGCATTGTCTCTTTTCTTGCTGGCTACGTGGAACTTGAATGCAAATTTGGCATTAATGTTCCAGAAATTATCCCTGTCACTGAGGAAGAGTACCCATTCTTGGTGGAAACTGGTATGCAGAGTGAATTTTCCTGACAAGGATTTGGGGACTTGTAGTCAGTTCCCACATCTCAGTTGGAATCTACCCCTTGATTGGAGCATTTGACATTATTCTGAAGTTTTTTCCCCCAGGTCAAGCTGTATGTGTGTAAGGGTAGTTTTTTTTGTTTCAGTTTTGTTTAGAAAGAGCGAAGCAGAAAGACCAGTGGGAGTTCTAGAGGTTGAAAAAAAACTGAAGATAACCCACCTACCGTCATCTGTTCCAATTCTCATCTGGTATTCATTCCCATTTCATCCCTTTTCCCCATCAACTTTACCTGCACTGAAATTCTTTTTAAAGCCCAACTAGACAAAACTGCACAAAAATAGTTCTCAGGACTTCATTTATTTTCTGAATGAAAAATGTGTAACGGTGGAAAATAATCTACCAGTGTCATTTTGGTCACTGTTTGGTCAGGGAAAATATACCTTAATGGAGAATTATCTTTCAAGGTTCATCCTATTGGTTAGATATGGTATTCCCAAATAATCAGTCTTTGGGCAAAATACATTAAAAAGAAAAACCATTTCCTAAATCCTTTTGCATAGTATCTTTTGACTTGAATGGCATTTCTGCCAAGAATTAGAACAATTTTAAATCATATTGATTCTGTTCAGAGGCCTTACTATTGTACTGTTGCTTCAGCATTCCAGATGGAAAAGGTTAGCAAAGTGACACTGGGAGATACCTGTCCACCGGTTTCCTTGTGATCTTTTTCCTTTCCCTCCCCCCTCCCCTCTTCCCTCAGAATCTACTTCTGTATGTCCCCAGCAAACTGCGAAGGGTCTCAGGGCATATTGTAGAATGGATTTTCGGTTCAGATATGGCTCTGGCCAAGCCTGTTTGCCTCACCCTATGTAAACTAAAGTCTGTCCTCTACAATATACAGATGGTTTCCATTCCAATGGAGGCTTTAAGGTAGGCAAACTGTCCTTCAGGATGTCCCTGCCATTTCACAATGTCTCCTTAAGAGATTGAAAAGCACTGCTCCAAGTAAAGGACTGTGAATTATACTCCTAGTCAAGTATTCTTGGAAAGATTTTAATAGTGATGGTTATTTTTAATAAACCTCCCCTATTTGCTACCTTGCAGCTGACTGGAATCACTGCATCTGGAAAATACCTTTCTCTATGAATGATACAGAGATAATGGTGATACAAACTCCACCAAGGGTGGCAGGGCCTGAGTTTAGGCAACACGGACTTGAGATTCTTCTTCCGTTTCTTGGCCGAGGCTGGTGTATGTTACTGAAGGTTCTAGCTGCCCAGTGGCTGGCAAGTCTACAACAGGTCCTGAAGGATTTCGGAACTGCTTGTACACCCGTGGATCTTGGGCAATGTATGTGGATGTAGAGAAGTACAGCAAAAGGCCAATAAGGATTGTGAAGAATGACAGCAGATAAAGTCCTGAAAACTAAATGTAAAGAATACAATTAGTAAAAAAAAAAAAAAGCAATAAATGTGTTGTATGCAAGAGTTGCATGCAAGAATTTTTTTTCCTGTATAAAGCTGTTCTGTATCAAATCAAATTAAAATTCAGTGCCAAAAATAAATTACTTAAATCAATTGAATGATTATTTTGTAACAATAAGTAAACATCAGCAAATTAATTTGGCTTTTACGGCTTTCAGTCAATGATCACTACCATTTTCTAAGACACAAATGTTATGCTCTCATGTAAAATCTTCAGAACTTCAATAGCAGAAGTAAAAATCCAGTGACAATGGAATCAAAGGTAACTGAAACACAAAAGAATCAGAAGAATCATAGCAACTTTGTGAAAAGACTAGACAACTCATGCCCAGTTAGAGATTTTCTTAACTAAACAGAGAAACAGAATGATCATGGGTGAGCATAAAAACAGCAGCAGAAGAAGCAATTTCCAACTTCCTGCTGGCTTCCCCATTGAATTTGCTTGTGGGAAGCTGGAAGGGAGTGGCAGAAATCTTCCTTCCTTCCTTCCTTCCTTCCTTCCTTCCTTCCTTCCTTCCTTCCTCCCTCCCTCCCTCCCTCCCTTCCTTCCTTCCTTCCTTCTTCCTTCCTTTTTAACGAGGTAATATAAAAGCTCTACAAAACAAACAAGTCTCTGTGTGCATATATGTTGTGGTGTATATATTATCTTGCTACTTCCAAGAACAATTAATTAAATATAATAAATGTCAAGATAAAACCAAAATCAACTTCAGCTTCAGGCTAAAAAGTATTATTGAACTGAAAGTTGAAAGATCCTCTCAGAAAAAACTAAGCTGTTCCAAATTAAATAGAAAAGAACCTTAGAGTCTCTGAATAATTAAGACATGACTAGCTGAATGATTCTAAATATGCAGTTTTACTTGGGAAAATATAACTTGCCTGCAAAGGTTCATTTGAGTCAACTTGCCCATTGGAAATGGACAGTAGCCCACCACAAACCTAGTTTTTCACTGTGAAAATCAATATATTATGTACTGATTAAGTAGCATACAGTATTTGAAGAAAAATGGAAAACCTGTCCAGAAAACAAAGACATTTTGAGAAAAAATGCAACCCTGCTTTTGTAAAAAAACAATATCCAGCAAATTACAATGTTCAGACTATTTCATACAGTCATTGCATATTAACCCAAACACAGCTACCTGGAGTTTACCTTTCATAGTTTGATATGGCCACAGGACTTGTCTTTATGTAAACCATGTCTGGGTATATGTATGCAAGAATATGCACACAAATACATCTGATAGGTTGACAGATGGTTAAATTTTCTTAAAATGTACACATTCACAGATGCAATGCAACACACCGGCTGTAAGCTCTGATGACATCCCCACCTGCTGCAGTTTTCCACAGTTAAGACTGTAATTGGCTCACTTCAGAAGGGAAGGAACCCTACCGAGGAAACTTTAAAGCATGACGGAGAGAGGCTGTCTAGTGGGCAGGCCAGTTAATTGTTTTTCTCTTGCAATATCTCATTTTCCCTTCTTGTGACATCTCGCCAGGTAATTGATCTGAATAATTCTGGGCATCCTGATCACACCTGAAATTCTGCAAGATAGAAAGCAAGCTCAGTACTGTGATCTCTAACAACAGAGATCCCAACCCTGCTTTTAAGAAGAACCTCCTGTGGACCTCCATCTCACCAGAACTCCAGACAGTCTTCTCTCCTCATTGTGAATTGCCACTGGATAGATTTTTTTGCAAATAATGGGAACGGCAAGGGAACGTCAGCACTGTCAGTACCTGAGCTCAAAGAACTATGTCTAGTAAAGATCAAAGGCATTCTAAGACTGGGAGTAGCTGCATAATTAATACGAGCACATAATTTGGAAGTTCTATTTGCTAGCAACAATGACTTTGTCTTTTGTGATCATCTGGGTTTCTTGCTCTTGACTCCCTGCTTGTTATCCTTGATATCACTTGCCTAATGGATTGTGTATCTGACCATCAACATGTCTCTACAGGTTTCACATTTCTGTTATGGTGAGTTCGGCTTTCTGCTTTCAGATATAGAGAAGTCAGATACTCATTCATAGCATTAACTATCCATTGGCCTTCACCTAAACTTTGGAGATTTTCATAATGAATTGTGTTATTGGTGGCTACTGCTTATTACTCTGGTTTTGTCCAGTAACAATCTAGTAATGGTAATGAGCTATAAGAGAGATCTGGGACAAAAATGGCCCCAGGATTATTAATCCTGATAATGGGTTTTAAATGATAAAGCACATACTACTGGTTCTGTTACCACTACTGGAAATGTTACTGGGAGTGTAAATGGGGAAGTAGAGAGTTACTTGACAGAAACTGGAAGGAAGCATAAACACTTTCTTCTCTAGGCTGGTACCCTCCCTGAGTGTGAGGACAATCAAAATCCCCAAGCCAGAAAATCTCCAATACATTGGGAAAAGGTATGCTACAAATATGTTTCCTGATGCACTTCCCAGTCAACTCAAAGCTGTGTTTGTACAGAAGAAGCTCCTGCGGCTTCCATAATATGTGTCACATGGGTTCTGAGGGGAATTATTTCTGGGTAGTCATCTGCTGGAAGTAAACCAATGCCAAGTCATAAAGAATTTTACAGGCTAAAACCTGCACTTCAATTTCACCACATAACATTTTTCAGCCAGACCAAAAAGTTTTGTTTTGGTCTCATCTGTCCTACATGTTCTTTCACAAACTGTAGGTGGGCAGCAATGTTCATTTTGGAGAATAGTGGCTTTCTCTTTGCTATCCTGCCAAGCACACCGTTGTTCTTCTGTGTTCTTTTGATTGTGATCTCATGAACACTGACATTCACCAATGCAAGCGAGTCCTTTAGTTCCTTAGACCAGTGATTCTCAACTTTTTCTTCATTATGGACCCCCTTTAAATACCTTTTGTGGCCACAGACCATGGCCACGGAGCTCCAAGACTTAACTCAAGATTTAAATCATAACATTTCTTCAAGCCTTCATGGATCCCCTGTGATGACATTGTGCCCCCCCCCGGGGCTCGCGGACCACAAGTTGAGAACCACTGCATTAGATGTCCCAATGATGCTTTTTCATGAGGCAACTGGACTTTCTTATTTTTTATTTCTTCTTCAGCTTCCTGGATGAGAAGTAAAACGTCTTCAAAGAAAAACAAGAAAGTCCAATTGTCTCGTGAAAAAACATATTTGGGACAACTATGACCTGGATGACTGAGAATCTGCATAGACACAGCCTTAGATGTTACCTTGGAGTTCTTTGAGACTTCCCAAAATATTACACATCTTGATCTTGGTATATTCTTGGTTAGTCAACCAGCCCTCCTGGGGAGGCTAACAACAGTGCTGAATTGCTTCATTTGTACACAATCTGTCTGACAGTGGACTGGTGGAGTCCAACTCTTTGGAAATAGTTTTGTACTTTTTCCAGTCTGGTTAAGATCAACAATTGTTTTTGGGAAATTCTCAGAAATATCCTTCAGTTCATGACACATATCCACATACCTGTATTGTGAAGACCAGACTTTGATAGTGAATACCCAGAATTCTGTTCTTTAAATAAAACAGGACCTCCCACACTCATATCTGATTATCATCCCATTGATTGAAACTCTTGACTCTAATTTTCCCCTCAAATGAACTGATAATCTGAGAGGTTTACGTACTTTTGCCACATACAAATATATAGCTTTGGATTATTCTCCTCAAAAATAGGGGACTAAGAATATTTTTTTAAATTGGGTTCTCATTTTCTAGTTCTAGGACTTGTCGGAGATAACTTTTTAGGTTATATTTACGCAGAAATATTGAAACTGCTAGCTTCTATGCAAATTCCGACATTTTGGTCCTCAGAGAATCCAAATCCCTCTTTTTACCAGGCTTTTGGAAACGCATCACAGAAAATGCATCAATGTTTTCCTTTGAGGCTTGGGTGAAAACATTGCCTTTATAAAATAGTTTTCATGTAAGATCTGTAGCTCACCTCAGAAACCACTGAATTTAAATATAACAGATGGCTCTCCTAATGTTTATAATTTTTTACTTTCAAAACACCTCAGTTGGCAAGGGCCTCTGTGTTCATTTGACAGTTTTATTCAGGGATGATACTTCAATGCACATTCCAAGCCAGATGGATGCAGGTCTGTAATATGACACGTTGGGACGTGACTAAAAAGGAAGCTACTTCCCTTGTAGATTGTCTGGAATATTTTGTATTGTTTTTAAATGTTTGTAAGCTGCACAGAGTCACTATTGTGACATGGGCAGTCATCTAAATCAAAAAATTATCTATCTATCTATCTATCTATCTATCTATCTATCTATCTATCTCTATATATCTATATATATCTATCTATATATATATCTAGCTAACTTTCTTGGATCTTTTAAAGAAATCAATAAGCATTTGGGGGCTAAGTATTAATGTAAGGAAGTTTTTTTTCTCTTCTCAGTTAAGAGGTATTGTTAATTAATAGTCTTCACATCCAAAAAGATCTGGGATTGCATTTAAACCACTACAGGTAATCCTCAGTTAGCAAACTACAATTGGGACCAGCAATTTGGTCATTAAGCAAAGTGGCTGCTAAGTGAAATGGCAACTGTGCTTACATCCTGCTTCAGATTTCCTTTGCTTTATAGACCTCCGAAGGACATAAATGTGAGGATTGATCACAAAGTTACTTTTTAATCTCCACTGTAACTTTAACATTTAGCAAACAGTTACTAAATGAGGCAGTTGCTAAATGAGGATTGCCCGTATCATGTTGAAACTGGTGGATCATACAGCACTTCTGATTTGAAGGGGTAAAAATGCTCTGAAGCATGTGCAAGTGAGCAAGCACATAACACCTCTTGATAACCCTTTGAACCCAAGAACTTTTTCTGGGGTTGTGCTGCAGTCGTGGCCATACAACCCCAGGAAGCGATGCAGCTGCTTTAAGGAGTTACCGACAGGAGCTAAGTAGCCACCC